GGGGGCTATAGGGGGATATAGGGGGATATAGGGGCTGTAGGGGGCTATAGGGCGCTTTAGGGGGCTATAGGGGGGCTATAGGGGGGTCTATAGGGTGTATAGGGTCTGTGGGGTTACCCATTGCTGGCCGTAGCTGTCCTGCAGCTCCTGCTCGTGCGTGTCCTCCCAGCGCGGGCGCAGCCCCAGGCAGAGCAGGGGCCACCAGCCCTCCTGGGCCATGGCCACGAAGTAGTCGGTGAAGCCGGCGAAGGACTGGATGGCACCTACGGGGGGGGCACCCGGGTGGCCACGTGGCCAGGGACACATGGACCCCAGGTGGCCACGAAGCCATGGACCCAGGTGGCCACGTGGCCAGGGACACATGGACCCCAGGTGGCCAAGGACCCCTAGATCCAGGTGGCCAGGAACCCATGGACCCAGTTGGCCAAGTGGCCAGGAAGCCATGGATCCAAGTGGCCAAGTGGCCAAGGACCCATGGACCCAGGTGGCCAGGAAGCCATGGACCCCAGGTGGCCATGTGGCCAAGGACCCATGGACCCCAAGTGGCCAAGAAGCCATGGACCCAGGTGGCCAAGTGGCCAGGAAGAGGACCCATGGACCCCAGGTGGCCAGGAAGCCATGGACCCCAGGTGGCCACGTGGCCAGGAACACATGGACCCCAAGTGGCCAGGGACCCATCAACCCAGGTGGCCAAGTGACCAGGGACCCCAAGTGGCCAGGAAGCCATGGACCCCAGGTGGCCACATGGCCAGGAAGCCATGGACTCAGGTGGCCAAGTGGCCAAGGACCCATGGACCCAGGTGGCCAGGAAGCCATGGACCCGAGGTGGCCATGTGGCCAAGGACCCATGGACCCCAAGTGGCCAAGAAGCCATGGACCCAGGTGGCCAAGTGGCCAGGAAGCCGTGGACCCCAGGTGGCCACATGGCCAGGGACCCATGGACCCCAGGTGGCCAAGTGGCCAGGAAGACATGCACCCAGGTAGCCAGGGACCCATGGATCTGAGTGGCCAGGAAGCCATGGACCCAGGTGGCCAGGAAGCCATGGATCCAGGTGGTCACGTGGCCAGGAAGCCATGGACCCCAAGTAGCCAGGGACCCAAGGACCCCTAGACCCAGGTGGCCAGGAAGCCATGGACCCAGGCGGCCAAGGACCCCTAGACCCCGGTGGCCAAGGACCCATGGACCCAGGTGACCAGGAAGCCATGGATCCAGGTGGCCAAGGACCCATGGACCCCAGGTAGCCATGGACCCATGGATCTGAGTGACCAGGAAGCCATGGACCCCAGGTGGCCAGGAAGCCATGGATCCAGGTGGCCAAGTGGCCAGGAACCCATGGACCCCAGGTGGCCAAGGACCCATGGACCCAGGTGGCCAAGTGGCCAGGAAACCATGGATCCAAGTGGCCAGGGACCCATGGACCTGAGTGGCCAGGAAGCCATGGATCCAGGTGGCCAAGTGGCCAAGGACCCATGGACCGAGGTGGCACATGCACCCAGGTAGCCAGGGACCCATGGATCTGAGTGGCCAGGAAGCCATGGACCCAGGTGGCCAGGAAGCCATGGATCCAGGTGGTCACGTGGCCAGGAAGCCATGGACCCCAAGTAGCCAGGGACCCAAGGACCCCTAGACCCAGGTGGCCAGGAAGCCATGGACCCAGGCGGCCAAGGACCCCTAGACCCCGGTGGCCAAGGACCCATGGACCCAGGTGGCCAGGAAGCCATGGATCCAGGTGGCCAAGGACCCATGGACCCAGGTGGCCAAGTGGCCAGGAAACCATGGATCCAAGTGGCCAGGGACCCATGGACCTGAGTGGCCAGGAAGCCATGGATCCAGGTGGCCAAGTGGCCAAGGACCCATGGACCGAGGTGGCCACATGGCCAGGGACACATGGACCCCAGGTGGCCAAGGACCCATGGACCCAGGTGGCCAGGAAGCCATGGACCCCAGGTGGCCACATGGCCAGGAAGCCATGGACTCAGGTGGCCAAGAACCCATGGACCCCAGGTGGTCAAGGACCCATGGACCCCAGGTGGTCAAGGACCCAGTCATCCAGGTGACCAGGAAGCCATGGACCCAGGTGGCCAAGTGGCCAGGAAGCATGGACCACAGGTGGCCAAGTGGCCAGGGACCCTTGAACCCAGGTGGCCAAGGCAAGTGGCCAAGAAGCCATGGACCCAGGTGGCCAAGTGGCCAGGAAGCCGTGGACCCCAGGTGGCCACATAGCCAGGAAGCCATGGACCCCAGGTGGCCACATGGCCAGGGACCCATGGACCCCAGGTGGCCAAGTGGCCAGGAAGACATGCACCCAGGTAGCCAGGGACCCATGGATCTGAGTGGCCAGGAAGCCATGGACCCAGGTGGCCAGGAAGCCATGGATCCAGGTGGTCACGTGGCCAGGAAGCCATGGACCCCAAGTAGCCAGGGACCCAAGGACCCCTAGACCCAGGTGGCCAGGAAGCCATGGACCCAGGCGGCCAAGGACCCCTAGACCCCGGTGGCCAAGGACCCATGGACCCAGGTGGCCAGGAAGCCATGGATCCAGGTGGCCAAGGACCCATGGACCCAGGTGGCCAAGTGGCCAGGAAACCATGGATCCAAGTGGCCAGGGACCCATGGACCTGAGTGGCCAGGAAGCCATGGATCCAGGTGGCCAAGTGGCCAAGGACCCATGGACCGAGGTGGCCACATGGCCAGGGACACATGGACCCCAGGTGGCCAAGGACCCATGGACCCAGGTGGCCAGGAAGCCATGGACCCCAGGTGGCCACATGGCCAGGAAGCCATGGACTCAGGTGGCCAAGAACCCATGGACCCCAGGTGGTCAAGGACCCATGGACCCCAGGTGGTCAAGGACCCAGTCATCCAGGTGACCAGGAAGCCATGGACCCAGGTGGCCAAGTGGCCAGGAAACCATGGATCCAAGTGGCCAGGGACCCATGGACCTGAGTGGCCAGGAAGCCATGGATCCAGGTGGCCAAGTGGCCAAGGACCCATGGACCGAGGTGGCCACATGGCCAGGGACACATGGACCCCAGGTGGCCAAGGACCCCTAGATCCAGGTGGCCAGGAAGCCATGGACCTCAGGTGGCCACATGGCCAGGAAGCCATGGACTCAGGTGGCCATGTGGCCAAGGACCCATGGACCCAGGTGGCCAGGAAGCCATGGACCCCAGGTGGCCATGTGGCCAAGGACCCATGGACCCCAAGTGGCCAGGAAGCCATGGATCCAGGTGGCCAAGTGGCCAGGAACCCATGGACCCCAGGTGGCCAAGGACCCATGGACCCAGGTGGCCAAGTGGCCAGGAAACCATGGATCCAAGTGGCCAGGGACCCATGGACCTGAGTGGCCAGGAAGCCATGGACCCAGGTGGCCAAGTGGCCAGGAAGCCGTGGACCCCAGGTGGCCACATGGCCAGGGACCCATGGACCCCAGGTGGCCAAGTGGCCAGGAAGACATGCACCCAGGTAGCCAGGGACCCATGGATCTGAGTGGCCAGGAAGCCATGGACCCAGGTGGCCAGGAAGCCATGGATCCAGGTGGTCACGTGGCCAGGAAGCCATGGACCCCAAGTAGCCAGGGACCCAAGGACCCCTAGACCCAGGTGGCCAGGAAGCCATGGACCCAGGCGGCCAAGGACCCCTAGACCCCGGTGGCCAAGGACCCATGGACCCAGGTGACCAGGAAGCCATGGATCCAGGTGGCCAAGGACCCATGGACCCCAGGTAGCCATGGACCCATGGATCTGAGTGACCAGGAAGCCATGGACCCCAGGTGGCCAGGAAGCCATGGATCCAGGTGGCCAAGTGGCCAGGAACCCATGGACCCCAGGTGGCCAAGGACCCATGGACCCAGGTGGCCAAGTGGCCAGGAAACCATGGATCCAAGTGGCCAGGGACCCATGGACCTGAGTGGCCAGGAAGCCATGGATCCAGGTGGCCAAGTGGCCAAGGACCCATGGACCGAGGTGGCCACATGGCCAGGGACACATGGACCCCAGGTGGCCAAGGACCCATGGACCCAGGTGGCCAGGAAGCCATGGACCCCAGGTGGCCACATGGCCAGGAAGCCATGGACTCAGGTGGCCAAGAACCCATGGACCCCAGGTGGTCAAGGACCCATGGACCCCAGGTGGTCAAGGACCCAGTCATCCAGGTGACCAGGAAGCCATGGACCCAGGTGGCCAAGTGGCCAGGAAGCATGGACCACAGGTGGCCAAGTGGCCAGGGACCCTTGAACCCAGGTGGCCAAGGACCCAGTCATCCAGGTGGCCAGAGACCCATGGACTTTGGTGGCCAAGGACCTCGGTGGCCAGAGACCCATGGACCTGGGTGGCCAGGGACCCCTGGACCCAGGTGGCCAAGGACCCATGGACCCAGGTGGCCACCTTGGTGGCCGGGTGGCCACGGACCCGGGCCCCCACCATCCGAGTCCCCTCCTCCTTTGGAGACCCAGAAGTTCCTCCACCCCCCTCCTTGGCCACGCCCCCATTCCCCCCC